TGAGCCAATGGCACAGTCCCTCTGACTCATATTAGGTTGCTATAGCATTCCAGATCATACTCATGAATCATCGTACACAACAAGCTGTACAAGTGGCAATGTATGTCCAATTTCATGTCATTTTGAAACCAATGTTGGTGAAGAACTAAGACAATACCACAACATGCAGAAAAAGTAATAGGGTATTATTTTCCTCCAAAATACATAGAAAGAAAACGAAAAAAAAAAAACATGTAAATATTACTATATGTTCTTGATGGACAGCTGCGTTGAAAGATGTTTTGGGTTTTCGTTTTCATGTTTTTCATTTTTTACAAAATGTCATATTTAATCAGTGTTTATATTATTGACCTCAGTTACTGCACTTTTTTAGTTTCCATGTAAGGAGAAAACGTATATATATATATATATATCTTTCAAAAATGTTTAGAAGCTGCTATTGTCAGAAGTGATCTGAAACAAACTGAATGTTATGATATTCGGTCATTTGACTCCCTGTGTTGCTATTAGCTTACCTGTCATTAGTGTTTTATTTGTATCTGGCCATAGATGCTTCTTTTCCAACCTAAACTGACTTTGCATTAGAGGTTATCAATGAAGTAGGGAGGTATTGTCTCGACAAACAATGAATCCATCCATCTGTCCATCATCCATACAGGCCCCACACACACCCCACACACACCCCACCCCCCACAAAAAAGGGTAAAAAAAGAAAAAAATAGGGTACACATCAACACACGAACTGTATTATTTTAGGTCTAGCTAGACTGCAAATTAGTTTGTCTTATTTTGCCCTTATGTGTGTGTAGTACATCCTTTTATGTTAAAGGTGTACATTTTGGCAGAGAAACCAAGATATGTCAAACGGGAAGGAAACGCTTGAATGACGAAATTCTCATTAAAAAGGGAGTCATGCCATGCGTTGTAACTTTTACGAAATATGAACATCGTAAAGGACGTTGTAAAGGCTACATCATCAGATTGTATCGAAAAATATAAAGCCCTGGATAAACAAAACAAAAAGTATTCTGTTGATAATATACAACTATATGTAATATTAGTAGGCCTACTCCTGATACTGCTGCTTTACATAGAACTGTTACACCTGCAATCACTACACACTAGAGTGGCATGCAGTACTGTGGTTCATCATCTGCAATTGACGGCACTGGAAAGCCATTCTAGCCTTTTGAATGGATGAATCAGAAAGCTGTCTTTGCATCCTTCCCTTCTTTCTATAAACTAACATAACCTGTCGTTGCGTCCACATACTTTGACTAACTTAGAAATATCCTCCTCGTATCATTAGCAGTTGTCTGGATACCAAAACAACTGATCGTTATTACTATCAGACAGGCAACAGAATGTGACTGCATGTCAACTTGAAAAATGATATTCTTAATATTGGAGAAGGTACCCATCAGCCATAGCTAACCAAGATATTCATGGAAGGAATAAGATTACGGATTGGATGAGGACATCACCTCTCTACTGTAGTCATCGCAGGATCCCTTACTGTACCTCATGCCTGTAATGTTTGCTGCTTCTATACTTTTGGTATTTTAGTGACATTTTTGCGTCTCATAACAGTGGTGTAAATAGTAGAACTATTTATTCAGAGTGTTATACTTTTTTAAGTTATATTTAATGTCCATGTAAGTTATTTTTTACATTGTTCTTATAAACAAAAACATTATCGGTTGTGAGTCAAAACTGTCATTTTGTCTCTGTCATCATCATCCTCTGTTGTGATCATTTCTGTCAAGCATTGATCAGACATACAGTACACTTCAGGCCCACAACCACACAAGAACATGTCTCATTGGTCATTAAGTGCAGTTGGACACTGCTTGTATCCAATGAGGATCCACCACATGTTCAAATGTTACTGAGTGCAGTGTATCTTTTTTCCCCTTTAAAACCAGAATGTAAAGTTATTTGCTTATTTTTTTTTTTAAATGCACACATTAGCCATTCATACAAGGCGTTGTGAAAAGAGAACCAAGTATATATATTGGTCAAATACATAAATCCATAATATAGCAAATGATGTTTCGAGAGACCAGTGTAAGACGAAAGGAATTTATGTACACAGCCAGCTGAGGACAGAAGTGGCAAAGAGAGGGATCAAACATGAAAAGAAAGAAGGACTGGATGTCAGAGGGCAGTTGATGGTACCCCAGATAGAGTGCTCTTGGATGGTGGAAAAGTAGAAGGTGGGCAGGGAAAGAGGTAGGGATGGGTGGGCTGCTTTTCCTGGCTTGTCTAGCTATTTGTCCAGGTGTGAAAATGTGTACTCACAGAGGCTGCCCCTGGGCTAATAGTGGCCAGCGCTGACTGGCAACAAGCCGAGGCCAATGAGTCAGTTCCTCCTGGGGGTGGCAGCCATTCCTTTCTGGGACTCCCACCACCCACTCCCTCACCCCTCCACCTCCCCACTCCTCGACACACTGCCTCATCTGTCACTGTCAGGTATGCCTGCGCAGGGCTGCCAGGGTCAAGCTGGCCCTGTGAAAATGAGAGAGGATGTTTGCCCAGCTTACAGAGCCTTTTGAAGTTGTGAAGGCTGAAGGAACACAGTTCTCCTCACCTAGAGCCTATGCTTATCACATAATATGATTTGTATAGCAGTCCTTTTTTGACAGGCTTTGATACCTCTCCACATTTTCCACCAACAGTCGCTCCTTTGTTTCTAATTTAACAACTGGTTGTTGTATTGCTTGTCTAAAAATGGCAGAAGCATTGTGTCTAACACATTTCAAAGCGATGGGAAGTGTAAGAAAAAGTGTCTGAAGCCCTAACATTTTTGCTCAGATCATTGCAGAGAAAAATACTCCATGTGCCATCTTGTTGTAAGACATTTTCCTTGTGTATTGTAACACATGAAGTACCTCTCACAGGCCTCTGGTTATAGAATGGTACACTTATGTCTGTTTCCTAATTCCCTCTATTAATAAAAAAAAAGGTGAATGGTCCTTTTTTTTCTAAGTGGGAAATACAAAAAAAAAGTGTATTTACATATTACGTGGATATCTAGTGGTATTACAATGTTTCGTACCCGATTGCTCAACAAATATATTTTAAGATGTAAATAATAATATTATATGATGATTGTATTTGCAAACCATGTACTAACTGTTTGGCAGTAGCTCTCGGATTGATTTTTGATCATAACTATTATACAAAGAGATGAACCGTGAATTTGTTGTGCATTGTGTCAAAGTATCACCTGCAAGACAGAAAAAAAAAAGAAAAGAAATAGACCTGTGATGCTTTACCACACCACTCGCTGTCAGCATTTATTTGTTAATAATGGCTTAGTACAAGCACTGTTGTCAGTTGTCTAATCCACGAATTTATCCATTGAGTCATGAATTATTTATTTGTTGTCAAGATGAATAAAAACATAATGGTCATTTCTGCATCTTAGGAGTCTGTTGGAATTGATCCTCACAATCAAACTTGACTGTTCTTTGTAAATGCATTGACAAGATTATTTCAAATTTGTCCGCAAAGAGCTTTCATTTCTCCTCACTCCATACTGTATATTCTCGAGTCTTGTCCCCGATGCCTTTGTGTGTTGCTGGGAATTTCACCAACACTGTAAATGTAGCCATCAGACTCAGTAGTCCCTCCCTCCCTCTGATGGCCTCCTCTCTCTTTGGTTCTTAAACAGTATGCACTTTTTCAGGCACATATACAACAGATTGGACTTTTATGTTTAAGCCCAATATTTCTCTCTGTTTTCACAGTTGCAATTATATATATTTTTGGTGCTCTGGTACATGGCAAAACATGTCTGATGTGTACTATATTTTCATAAGGAAGAGTCATAAGATCATCATTTTCATTTTGCTGTCATTTATTGTGTAGAAATAAAACACTGGTTAAAGTGAACATAAGCTTGAGCGTGTTTCTTTGAAAGTTGAATCATTTTTTTGTCATTGCAAAAGTGTGTCCAGGTTCCTTTTGGAGCTGCTTTATACTGTATTTAAAGAGTATCTTTCTTCTGGAAGATTCATAGTGAGCCTTATCAAAATTCAAAAAGTGCTGAGGTGGTTTTAAAAAGAGGAGCTCATTCTTTAAGCCGTCATTGATACATTTGTATGGAAATGTGAGTGCTGTTCCTAGCACTCCAATGACGTTAATGGCCTAATTTGTGAGAATGAACGTCAAACTACTGATTTTTAAAGTGCAGTTAATGTTGCATGACTGGAAAGAAACTGGATCTGAGCTTAAAGGAATAGTTTGTTGAGGGAGATGGAAAAAGAAAATGTTTCCTAGTAGCTCACGTGCAGGGAGGCATAGCCACCTTCAGTTAATGATATAAATTAGAGTAATTCATAGGGGATGGCTGTCTGTGAGTTCAGTGACTGATTTCCCCCTTTTCCAGCTCAATGTAAATATTTTTCAGCTGGATCATGTGGTATATTGGGTAAAACCTGGGAAATTACAGCATTACACTGCATTGTACAATTGCTAATATATAATCTGATCACAGCTACTTTCATCCAAGTCTCATTTTGTCATCGTCCTAACTAATTCTATTCCAAATATTCCTGTGATATTGTGCAACTTTACTCTGATGGTTTGTACCGTGGGGGCTTCTCTCCACTGAGGTCTTGTGTCAGTTCAAACAAGGACACATGAGTCATGTGAACCACATGAGCTGATCAAAACCATGTCAGATTAATTTAACTTTACAATCACTTTTCATGTGTGGTAAACTAGTTTACGATGCATCATGTTTGTTGGGGGTAATTAAATGATCTTGCCACTGACTTTAAAATAGGTTTAAAGAAATGCTTCCTAGCTGATCAATATGATTCCTTTCAAAACTTAAATTACTGTATCACTCCATTGTAGTGATGAAAGAAAAGGCTTTTGATTTTATATACATTTTTAATATTACACATTCTTCAGAAAAGACAAACAAAGCCACATAATACTTTTTTTTACAATTTAAAATGTACAATATAATAAATTATTTGATTATTATTTTACAATTCATATAACATGAGATGTAAATATTGAAAAAAAAGGCATTGTTTATCTTCATTAAAACAATATTCATGGCTTCAAAGATATGACATTGAACTGAAAAACAAGAGGATTAAAAGGACCACAGACGATCCCTACGACTGCTGATACACAATTCAGTGTACGGTACCTCCCAACTTTACAGTTGGTTCAACACAAACTGTTCGGTCATCTGGAAAATTATTATACTATTATTCCTATGATAATTTCTATGAATGCACATAAATTAGCAAACATCATATTCTCCTTATTTTAATTACCTTATTATTACCATATTGTGACTGTAATGTCTAATAGTGCTCCTGTGTATTATGCCAGATGTTTTGTTTTTGCAGAACTTGACTTCTGCCACAATGACAAATGTTCTATTCTTCTGATAAGTTACAACTTATCAATAGATCACAAACATCTTGCATCATCAAATCTAGCAATATAATGTTTTTTTTTTATAATACAGTTGCTGTTGATGTTTATAGACCAAAACCCAACAAGTTATGTAAAGTATTTACTCTAAAGACTTCAGTGTGGCCATAGCGTTGTGTTCTTTTGTCTTGAACACATTATTCATTGTGATCGGGTCCATTTCTAGTCTGAGAAACACATGTCATTGAAATCAGTACATTTTCCATATTTATTGTGGGTACTGTAGATTCAAAAAGAGATGATGATGACAAAAGGATTCCTAGAAATCAGTGCTAAGTTAAAAGTCTATGAATGAATAACACTCACTCCGTCTTTGCATAATTTCAACAGGCTGACAGGCCTAATAGTCAATCATGTTATGTTACCACACAAAGTCTTGCTATTTTAATTTAATCTATCAAATGTAATATAGACTTACAAAATTGTTTCGCACTTACTTATTTCATTCATGAAGAAAAGCTTTATTTTTTTTAAACAATGGCAAGTTGAAAACAAGAAAGTGATTTTCAAATGGCTTTAACACTTGTCAATTCCTCCTTTCAAAGGAAGGTAGTAAAGGCAAATAAGTTATGCTGTTGACTTTTCCTTTTTTTTTTTCTTTCTTTTAAGTGTTCCAGGTAAGCTTCAAAGCACCAAAAAGGAACTACAATATTACATTCAAAGTATTTAAACCAACCAGTTATATTTTACATTTTCACACTGCAGTTTCTAAGTGATATGTGCGATCACTGGCATTTTGCTCCAGTTTTTTTTTCCTCTGTTTTACAATAAAAGTAGGCCACACAAAAATATGTTTTTTTTGGTAGCTTTAACACAATGTCCAGTGAATTCTGAGGTTTTTTGGTTTGCAAAATCCACCAGTCACTTGAGGGACACTTGCTGCAGAGTGGGTGACAAGGTTCATCGATCGCTGATGTCATTTTGCAGGGAAAAAAAACAAAAACGCACCGCCACCATCTCCAAACTCCTGTCTCATCGGAGTTTAGTGTTGCTGTATGTGTTACGCTGAACAGAAATGAGCTTTTCCATGCAGGTGGTGCGACTTTCATGTAAAGAGCCATGCCACGCATTACTGGGAGGTCGGCCCTCTTCACTCCGGCAGTAGACATACGCCATGGTGTCGGTGCGGCTCTGGATATGGGTGCTGCGCAGGAGGGACCGGCAGTAGTGGCTAATCCTTTCCACCCTATGTAGTATCAGGTTGGCTTTTCTATTGAGGGAGAAGAAAAAAAAAAAGAAAAAAAATCCAAGCTCAACATCATCACACAAATGTTTTTTGTATTTTATCACATCATCATTAAATTTTCTCTCAAGTTTGAGTTGACATCCAAAATTGAGACATGCAGACGCCAAAACAGATCTCACCTTTCCTGAACATATTAGCACACATGATCTAATCATCAACAAGTATAAAAATCTGCCTTATTGCATTAATGATACAGTGATTTTAAATATGTACCAGATGATACTTAAAAATCATAGAAGTAGTTTATAAAACTTGATGTGAGTGCTGATGTGTGTGTGTGTGTGTGTGTGTGTGTGTGTGTGTGTGTGTGTGTGTGTGTGTGTGTGTTTCCGATTAGACATGTTTTGGATGGATAGGAAAAAAAAAACTGCCACAATTTCATACCAAAGAGGGCACCTTAAAATTCACTGCACGTCATATACAGTATGCCATTCCACCCACCTTAGTGCTGGAGGTTCATTTTGTGCCACAAAGCCATCAAAGAAATTCAAAAAAGAAAGTCAAAAGGAAAATGACATTGCTCCTTTATTTGCACCTCCACTGGCTTTGTGTCTGCACGAAAACAGCTTTAAATGTTACCAGAATTGAAAGAATTGCAACAATGTCTTTCCTGTCACTCGGACAGGACTGCCAGTCTGGGTCAAAACCACCACATGCAATTGCATTTTGAATTGCCGGGTACCGAATCTGTTCTCTACACCAGAGGCAGAAGTCTATGGTGCGTGAAACAAAGATTTTTGTCACCAGAGTTTCTGTTTACAACATCAAGGAGCCATAGTATATCAGGTACGCTTAATATAAAGAAAATACACGTACACACACACATACATACATACACACACATAAATGCATCTATTCCGTACTTGTAAAACAGTAATACACCTACAGAATACATATAGAGTTTAAGTTTTCGAGATTGTTAAGCTCATATGGATACTGAAATGAGAACAACACACGCAGAGAAGGGCAAAATTCCATTTGTTTTGAAAAGCAGTGTCTGCTGAGCATCAACATCTGTCTTTAGTTAAGCAAGGAGTACAGACATCCTTTTCACTTCTTTGCTGAAAAAGGGGGCGGTTCAACATTTTTCTCATTTCCCTTGAATTCTTATGTCTGAAACAACAGAATACCAAACACATAATCAATGGAAGCTTGCAAGCATGTGAGCTATGGACAAATTAAACACGTTTGATGCCATTCATTATGACGAACAAGGAAATTAACAAAAGAAAAGAAAAAAAAAGTGACACATTTAAAATATTACTTCTGCTTAACCTTTTAGGTTGCAACTACTAAGTAAATACAAATTGGCTTCATCTGATTTGGGCAACTGAATCCTAAGTAATTGATTTCGAAAAAAAACCCACAGCTTCAAAGGAAGGCAACCCAGAACTGAAAACAACAACAAATCAAAGAGACCGATGTGTCGGAAATAGAACAAGTACATTGCAGTAAAGATAATAGCTGTGTTTAGAGTGAAGGTAAATAAAGCAGCAAACATGTATCACATAACAAACACATAACAAAATAATTGTGAACAATGCTCGTGGACATTTTGGGGTTCATAGGTTCTCGCTCCTGGAGGAGTTCTGACTGTGTTTACGTTTCACTTGGCCATTCCGTTACCTTTTAAAAGGCTCCACCAATAGAGCCTGCTTGTAAATTACCCCAACGAGGCTCAACCCTGCCAACTTCAGGCTGTAAATAATCCGTGCTCGCTCATCCAAAAGCCCCCACCCCCCTCCTCATAACTGCCCACACACAAACACACCATGTGACCACCCCAATCCCCATATTAAGTCCCAATGGCAAACCCTTGCCTCCCACCCCCCTTCACCAATCAGAGAGAAGCATCATCTTTCTACAAACCAAAATGATTCCACAATTATCATATCATTATTTATGGCTTGAAAGAAGTGCTTCCAGGCAGTTGGGGTGGACAAAACAAAACATTGGGCCGTAACTTAAGATTTTTGTTGCTATCATCAGCGCTGGACCAACTTCCTTGTCAAACTTGCATACATTAATTACATTGTTTTTGTTCTATACTTCTTTTGAAAGTATTGTTTATGCCTCTTCCTTCGAAGTTTTGTTAGTCAGTGAGCTTTCCTTCTCCATATTGTCATAACGTCTCAATGTTTGTTCACACAGCCAACTATCAACGCTGTAAAGAGGGGGAAGTTGACTGGATGTCGGGGTGGCATGTTGTGGACACAAAGGAACTTTTAATGAGAAAGAATAGGAAATGAAGTTTGAAGGCGAGTTAGTGTTAGCCGACTATCACATTTTGTGTTTGGCTTGGCTGTCAAAACTGTGCTTTTGCCCAGATCGTCTCACCTGGGGCCCAGCTCATCCTCACTACGCCAGACGAAATCTCCAAACTTCTCGTAGTGGGAATTGTAGTGGTGCTGGACTCTGTATAGCAGCGGAGGAGGGATCTCCATCAGTGTGTTGTAGGCCATCTGCTGCTCCTTGCCGCTGGTGTAGCCATTATACAAGTTGTACACCTTGTCTGCTATCTCTGTAAGGAGGTAAGAGATAGACAGAAGAGCGATACAGAGATACGAGGGGGAAAATGGGATATACCATGAGCGAGGAAAGCCAATAAGCAGATAAAGGTCTGATAGAGAACTTCTGCGATTTAGTACTGCACTTCAGTAAGGTGAGGGGACTTGCAAGAGATAGATGAAAATACAAGGATGTTGAACATCAATGCAGCAGAGGCTGAGATATCCTGATTTGTAGTCCCTAATATGGGCCGAGCCTCATACACAGTAGATGCTACACTTTCTTTCTGCCTGGTGAACTCCAGATGATTAGTACATTGAATTTCACATGTGGAATAAGTAGAGTGCCCCTTGTTTTCATAACCATACTATCTAATCATGTATGTCCACATTGTGAGGGTACTTAAGAGTTGAAATGAAAGAGAAAGACAAAATCAAAAGGTGAGAGTACCTTCAGCTCGGCTATCATCCACCATTGGACAGGACGTCCTTACTGAGACAAAGCTTGACTCAGAGTTGCTGCCTCGGTTATCCACCGCACGGAGGGTAAACCTAATATGACAATATCATGAAAAATAAAGTTTATTATTTGAATAAAGTTTATTATTTGTAACATCCCAAGATCAAGTAAGATACAGTGCCAGAAGCAAGCAGGAAATATACCAAAAAACAGCGTGGAAGCCATTACCAAGACACTTAAAACATCAACTTCACATATGATTGGCACTTTGGATGTGCTGACATAGACATATACTGACAAAGCCGTCATATACTGTAGTGTATTTTTTATAGGTTTGCAGGATAATGTGCTGGATGAGATGGTGGTCTTGATAGCTGGTATTTGATCATACAACCATACACTGACATCACATATTTATTCAGTAAACATCTTGCGAATAGGTAGCCAGGGATTGTGGGATTTGAAAATGAGAGCAGCCAGAACCACAGCGGCAGACGAGACAGAAGTAGAGGGGAATCTGGCTTGACTCCAAGCACTCTATAAGGACAAAGTTCCACTGTCTGAAAATGTCAAACATCATCATTTTTGGGGTTCCATGAAGGACCACTCAGTACCGTGATAAGATACCATTGCAAACAGTTCAAGACATTGCAGTAGGAGACGAGACACACTGAGAAAATGTAACGCATCTCAAGTAATGTAGGGCCACACGGCACGGAATAAAAAACAAATGACCTTTAAATGTCCTTTTGAAAATGCCAATCTGTGTACTTCTGAATAAGAAGAAGTACAAGGAGGAATTGGTCATATTTAATCTAAAAAAAGATGAAGGGTGGCACCGCTTAATCCATCAATATCCTTGCAGCAGCAAGGAGAGAGAGAAGGCGGCAGCCGCTCGTATGAACGCACACGGCTATTTGCCGCTGCTGTCTTGCTGGTCATACACCCTAACGAAGCAGTAAACAAACATATCAATTGAAAAAGGGTCATAACATTAGCTTTGACGTTTGTTCAGCCTAACTTGTTATGTAGTGTCATATTTTCTACATATTCAGCTACAACCATCTGCAGAGGCCTTTTCACAGAAGACTTGTTGACATGTAACAGAAAAGGCACAAGTATAGATAATCACATTAGTGATGGCTTTATTCCATTTACCTGCTTAGGTCTCAGAGTCCTGGTGTCGTGCATGCTGGCTAACTCTGTCACTCTGTCTTGACACTTGAATAGAACAAAGCTATCACTAATATTATTAGTAACACCAGTGCATTACCTACTATGACATGTCAAATTATCTGCAGTGAAAAAGCCTATTTGGCTACGTGATGAGATTACAGGTGGCTAGCAACAACCTGTAGCATATTGGTACAAACTGTGCAACTTCCACCGGAGCAGAAGTCAAAAAGAATATCTGATAAGCATGAAATTGCCTGTTAAATGTTGCAGTATCAATGACGTATGACATAAATAATGTAGTTGTGGTTAAGGGGATTTTCTGCGTGAATTTTGCCTTGAAAATGAAATAAAAAAGACTCATCCAAATGCACCGTTTTTCTTAGTGCAGGGGGAACTTTGAATAAGCGAATTTAGTATTGAGACATGTTTGTAACTAGTTATGAAAACATAATTACCACTGTAAAAACAACAGGATGACAACAAGGAAACCACAAAACACAGTGAGACAAATAGAACCACCGATATGGCATTCCATTGCTAAATAAAGAAATTACAATATTATTGTTGTTTCAAAACTTGCTTTTCATCCTAAAAACATTTATCATCGGTTTTCCTGTAATGTCTTGTAAGAGCTGTCCCAATGCTGTCAAATTATTGTTTTGTTAGTAACATGACCTGTTTGGACATAGCTCACATAGTTTGTCTGATCTTGTTATTCAGCAGGGTGGATGCGGTATTCCCCAAGAACCGCACAAAAGACGCAAAACTGGCTTCTCTGCCCAACAAAACAAAGCCGGCATGTAACAGTCACACTGTTTAAATTATGTGGCCACATAACGTGCAGATGGATACAATGAGGTGGGAAAGGGGAGGGGAGCAGGAGGATGACGAGACAGGAGTTCTATCAAGGCAATTTGTTAAAAGTATTGTTTGGGACCCAGAATGTGAGCTTGCCAGAATTTTTTTGCAGTTTTTTGGTTGTTGGTTGGCATCAATGACATGTACTGTTTGTTCCCCTTCCCAAAACCCATACAGCAATTACAAGATTGCTATGTATAGTAATACATTATTTTTTGCCTGTCAGTCTCAGGTTTAACTTTGGAGACCTGCTATTTGTTTGGGTAAAAAAGGGAAAACATGCTAACATTTTACAGAAAATATGATTTTATTTTTTCAGATCAGTCATGCCAAGGAACCTTGGACAAGGGTCCTTCAAACTCTTATGCTGCCATTCATAGACACATATAGTAAGATTAAAGGGGGCTGGATGGATAGAGTGTAGTAACTGTACTCAGAACAGGCACTCGGCGATGATAAAGATCGCCTTGGAGAACAAAGGAACCAGCCACAGTCTGGCCTGCCATAAGAATGTCAAAACATCAAGCAACAGAATTGGCAAGACACACACAACCACCCACCCACCCACCCACACTCACACTGATACACATTACTTTGTCTCTCTCTATTTTTCTATCTACATTGCTTGCATATAGCTCAGCGCTGTCTATCCCTCTCTCTAATTCCTTGTCTCTCGCATCTATTCCAAGGCTGTCTGGCTGCACATGGCTCCCCTGGAAGCAGCTCGGTTTTGTCCCTGTGCCATAGTTTTGAAAGCTCAGCAAACAATGAAGAGGACAAATGGCAGATTAATGTTTGTGTATATTGACAATGTTGCCATTAAAGTAACCGTTGTCCTCTAATTTAATGAGACAGTGGAGAGAAAGCCGAACAAGGGATGACAAGACAGGAAGCTCAGAGACGGACAGAGCAAGAGAGGAAGAATGAGAGAAAGTGAGAGAGGATCAATTAGGGCAGTATTTTTGGCATGCTGAGAGAAGCTAGGGCAGTAGGGGATGACTTTTCCATGACATCAGCATTTGGACACCCATCAGTAGAGCCAGTCCACAAATCAATCAAAGCCACATAGAATTGTCTCTCACTGCCTGGACATTTGTGGCAGCTTACAGTATCTCATGACTTTGAAATCCTCAGATCTATGCGGCATTACACTGGTGCGACAGCCCTCAACAAAAAATGGATTTGCATTTCATTTAAAAATAGATACATAGCTCAGTTCCGAATGATCTCCCTCTCAGGTGAGCAAGACTTACAGTCCAAATGAATGTAATGAATAACATCTTATTAAAGTATTCAACAGATTTAAATGCATGCTCAAGATATTTTTGGAACTGAGATACTTTGAGAAGATTGACACAACAATAATCCCAACAATACCTTGAAAGACAATAGACAAAATCAAGGCGAGATTTTATCCTGACCACCTACTACTCCTCAGGTCAGATGTGATAGCCACCAGTAGTTCCAAAAATTGCCAGAAGCCACCAATCAACCATTTGTATAATGATAACGTCATTGTGTACTCATTTGCATGAAGCTTATACTCATGAAGCTTAGTTGTGTTGCTCATTGTTTAGTCTTACATTTACACAAGTCATTTATACCATCCCAATCTTAACAAAGCCAGCTAACTTACTAGTTTTACAAAGCTAGCAAGCAATTCAACATACATTGATCCTAATAATGTAATGATGCTGTTAGTGAAACGTTTAGTAGAACGTTGAACTGTGTCAAATTAATGATCTTTTTTTGCACACAAAGCATGATTCATTTGTGTGCTTTTACTGCCACTATGCACGTCGACATTCCTTTACAAAGCCCATACAAGGTAACCTAAAGCTAACAAACACTGGCTAATGCAGAATACAGAATATCAAAGGTGGGTGACGGTTCTTAACACCAATAACACCGAGGTAAATGTTTTTGGAGAAAACAAAACAAGATAAAGCATGAATTTAGGAGTTCAGACTGGCATAAACATAAAAAGGATGGGAATTCTGGCAAGTTGGATGTCTGAAGAAACTGCCTTAAATAGTCTAAAGCAACAGGAGCAGCTGAGGAGCAATTGGGAAGATGCAGGACAGGAGGGAGCACATGAGCACAATCTAAAGCAAAAATGTAATATTACGGCAGCTTATACAACAACAACTATTGGCTTTATAAAATGTAAATGGCTTGTTAGCAATGAATGCAACAGGGTGGTCCCCCAGTTCAAACTCACACAGGCTCCGCCCTCTACTGGACTCTATGGAGAGCACACATTCGGCAACCAAAAATTTGAATGTAGTCTGCAAATTAGAACGTCCCTTCACAAATTGCTACGGAACTAACAGTATATTTGGCAGCCCACACCGTTGTCTGCCATCCTTTTTCTTTTCAACGAATGGCAATTTGCCCATGGAATTGATCAATTGCTGGAGAAGATCATTAGTGCCCGTTTGTCCCTGGCCTCATCAACATGACAGACAGAAACGCCTGCTTTGAGTACCTCGGTGCAGACCAAGCAGAGAGTGGTGTTCAGCAGCCACTACCCTGCCCAGCCTGCCCTAGATTTGATGCCAGCAGCTGTGGGATCACTCACGTTGCTTCCCCCTGAGCTGGTAAGCCGTCTCCACCATGGTTTTTACAGAGCCCATATCAACAGGCAGGGTGGAGCTTGGTCTGCTGCCTTGTTGGGGATGGCGAAGAGCTTGTGGCTGTGGACCTTAGAGCACCTGTTGCACATTCTGGGACTGGAGAACAGGAGTGCCAACCTAATGTCGAGAGGTGGACCCCTACTCGACGAGTGGAAGCATCTACCCAAGGTGGTAAAGCAGATTTAGACCCGGTTTAGGAAGGCGGAAGTAGATCTGTTCGCCAACCACCAGAAAAACCCACTAAGGTTCTCCCTGGAACAGCAAGACAATCCACACGTGCCATGGTCAAGAAAGCTGCTTTATGCCTTTACTCCGCTCCGCCACATCCCATACTTGATGAAGAAAATGTCGCAGGAGCAGTTGTCAGTCATTCAGGGAGCCCCAGGCTGGTGTTCTGCGCCGTAGTATGCAGGAATGACCCAGCCATGGATCATCCCCCAGTTCTGAAGAGTTTTGTCTCAGGAGTTCACTTCTGGATTTCACTGTTGGCCCTTTTATGTGTTGTTTTCTTTTTTTTGTTACGAGCTATTGCTTTCTTTCTTTGCACGTCATTGCTACATCAGCTCTTGTGTACAATCAATCAGCGTACACTTTCACCACTCATGGTTATTGTTGTGCTGGGAGAGTACTTCATCTGAAATAGAGGCTAAAAAGCCCCATAACACGTCTTTCTAAGAACTATGATCGTTTGTAGTTTTTGCGGTGCAGACAAAATACAGATTGGGGTTCTAAGAACTATGAAAAAGTTCCTCCGGTCCGACAGCGCCTAATGAAATGGGGTTTCTTAGAACTAAGTTCTTAGAACTATGAAAAAGTTCCTCCGGTCCGAAAAGGCCGATTGACTGCTGTCTGTCAGCCATATTGCCACACAGGGCAATTGAAGCTTTATTCTATGAATGAAGACAACAATTTGATAAAACGACTTACCTGTTTGGAAGCACAAAGTCAACACTATCATTAAAATCTGTGGTTAGTGAATGGAGTTGAAAGCCTGATAGTAAAACAACTATATTAATATGTAGCCTGATGTTCTCTAATTCTAATACTTGATTTAGACTGTTCAATTGTATCCAATATATTGGTTGGCCATTCACTTTTGAAATGGGTGTAACTTAAAGTAAAGAGCATTACGTTTGTTGGGGTATGTTAGGGCCATAGCAACCTTGGTGATGATCAAGTGTAAAGCCAGTACCAGTAGAGGTCTTATCAGGCTCTTGATTAAGACGGCGGAGTTGGCTGCAAGCAGATGTGCCCTCAGACGTAATTCAGACGCAGATTCTGCTCTTATCAGAGAAAAACAACACTGGAGAATGCCTAAACAAAGATAACACTGATAGTTGGAAATTAGGTTTTGTTGCAGGTTGACTGATACAGATTAAACTAATACGTATTCCCAACTATTCCTCATCCTCTGTCAAAGCCTGTAGGACACTCAAAATCATCTTCTTTTTTTTTTTTTATGAAACAGATGCTAATTAACATCATCTTCTAAAAATGTCACCAATAACTGTTGACTGCTTCCTGGCATTTATTCGACATATTTTGTCATCTTTATTTACTTGTTTACATGGTCAGCTGTGAACACTTGAATTCTATGCAAATGTAATATTTAAATTTAAATTATTATATTTAAATATTCCAACGTTAATGTTAGATTTATAAAAACAAATCACATATTTTATTATTATAGCTGTGTTGTTGGGAGACATTAATGTTACATAGCTTGTTGGCATTGCTACATTAATCCATCCTTTACCTTCCCTCTGGGGTAAATATAAACAGACTACACACACACACACAGCAGTTGAAGACCTTGTTATGCCAATGTTAAGGTTCCCAAAACAAACCAAGGCCGCCACATAGCAAGAGCAGTATAAAAACAAGTGACATAACAAAACCTGAGAAAAGACAGACCAACGCTGAGAAGTGTGTTTCATGTGTCCAATGACAGCCACAACAACATCTGGGTCCTGTCTAGTTCACTGTCTGCTGCTCTTGCAACTTTGGTTCAAGATATAGAGGGCAAATAGGTGCTCAGAGCAAATGCACATCACAGCAATACCCAATCGGATAAAACACTATTTTTATAATTATTATTTTGTTGTTGACGCTGTTACAGAGACCTGTTGGGCTAGCTCTAAGGTTGTTTTTAAGGTTGTAGTTTGTGGTATTGTTTTATTGAAATGTACAATGTTGTATGGAGCTTCTTTCCATAAATAAAATATAAGAAACAGGTGTCAGTGTAATACAGTCCAGTAAATAACTACTCCACCATGCATTTGATATAAAAATGTTTGTGGGAAATCATTATGGTTATTACCATGGTTTTTCAGAAGACCAAGTCTAACGGCAGATGGGGTAATCCCTATTACTAACAAATCCACAATCAGCAACAGCAAATAGACCTGGATGTCATAGACTGTCAAACTTTGATGTCTTAGGGTGATGGCTTTTAGTTAAACAAACACCGCCTCTTAACAGAGATCCTTCTGTATTCACTGAAACCCTGGTCTGCTCTGACCAAAAGAACATAAAAGAACGGAAGCATCCACCACTTTCACCAAGTTGAGACTAAGTATGCCTCCCTAGTTAACTCGACCCAGCTGTTGAAGGTAACAACATTCACCCCCTGAAACAAAATAGCATCTGCTGATATTTGCCCATTCATTTTTGTTTGGGAAAGATGCAAACATGGCCACAACATCACTTTTAATAACAAAAGGTCTTTCTATGGTAATTGGAAACACTGAAGACATAAAGATGTGGTCAGAAAAACAATCAAGTGAATCTAGATCATTGTCGCAGAATACTGTAGGTGATTCGGGACAAGATTGTGCAGCTTTGGTGTAGTAATGCGCTCTGTGATTACTTACAAGTTTTATTAATAAAAATATTAAGTTATAGCAAAAATGGAGCACATCATCGTTTTCCCTTTTATCAAACAAAGGGAACCACCCGCATGTTCTGGCAGTTTATAGACACATTTCCTAACCTCCACATGACACTGATGTATGAGGTGGTATTAAACATGGCTGCCAAAATATATCTAGAGCCTTTAGAATTTCAGGGAAAATCTCCACCATCACTTTGTCACTGAGGTGTTTTTGTCATCCTCCACTTGAGAGATGGCCAAGACTTCCTCTGAATCCTCAAAGTATGCCTACTCCGTTGTTCCTCAAGTCAAGGGCAGCAGTTCTCCTCCGCTGAAAACAGCCTTGGTGAGGCTCTTTCTCCACTTCCTGAATTGTGTCATGGGTAGCCATTACCTCTTTGAAGCCAAACGAAAGTCTCTCTCCTGCGCCTCACAAAACTCCTTCCACTCATTTGCTTCCTAGACCCCTAGAGCTGCAGTACTTAAGGCTTCCTAGAACGTGACCACTGATTAAGTAGTTTCCCAGGTTAAACAAGTCTGATACTCTCCTTGTTTGGCTTGACAGCCTTATTCACCAGAGGTGTCCACCAGGATCTCCGGTTGAGCATTGGGGCACACCTACAATGGGCCGCCTTAAAAAAGGACTGAATACAACTACAAAGTTGATCATGGATTTTTGAGAAATAGGTGTTCTTGTACAAGATGTAACCCCTGTCTTTCGACCCATATCCATGAGTTTTATTCTAGTTCTAGGGAAGAATACTCTTTTTTGAAGATGCTCAATATATTGACATGTGGAAGTCTAAGTCAAGCTCCTCACCTGAGACCAATGTGCCTTATTAGACCCAGCTTTACAACACAGCTCACAGGGTCTGAGGGGCACACAAAATCTCCCACCATGATCATGCGGAAATTCTCCTCCGGCTTATATTATATTGCACTGTATATTGCTTCATTAAAAAACACATTTGGAAGCATATTTTCCCCATAAGTGTAACATTCATTTTCTATTAATTTTACAACCACTGAAATCTGAAAATAATTATGGTCTCACCACTCTTCACATACATGTGAACCTTGAAACTATGTCTAAATTACATACAACAAAATACAATTCATGACTTATGTTTATCCATACAATGAAGAAATAAACATTCACAATAAATCAGTAATTTAATTGACTTGGAAAACTTGGCAAAGGGCATCAGCAGACTTACTTGTAGAGACTGTCTGATTCCAGGCACTTGAAGACAACCGAGTATAGCACAGAGTGAGGATGGTCTCCGGTCCTCTTCCCAGCAACAACACAGGACGAACCCAAACCAGAAAACAGATCATCCACTAAGCTCAGAACTTCACCTAGTAGAGAGAGACAAAATTGAAGGAAATAAAGAAAAGTACAAAGGGTGAAATGAAGACAGAGAGAAACCAAAAACAAATCTTGCAAGGTCACATTGGAAATGTTATTTGTACTGGTTTACCATCTGTCATACTTTCTGCCAAAAAAGGAGGAAAAAAAGCAATTATCTTTCAACATTATCTTTCATCTATTGTTTTTAGTTAAACAAAACAATATCAGAGAAAAAACAATGTTCACCCAACATTAACTCAGTCATATATTCATTTCTACATTTAGGAAAGTAGTTATTTTGTTGTCAATGATTGTGTTATTTGATGTTATCATTGTCACTGCTGCTCTGTCCGATGGGAGCCATTTCTCCAGCACAGAGCCCGAGGCTAAATTAAATATGACTTTTTGCTGGCAGCAGCCCATACACACTACATTACAGAACTGTAAGAAAACAGGATTTCTTTCCTTTATGCGCACACGGTAGTGTTACAATGATATCTCTCTGAGCACCCTGCTGTCTCACAAAACACTACTTTACAAGTTGTGAAATATCTTTCATGTCAGCTTACGGGAAAGGCAAGCGATGCAAACTTGCTCATTTAGACACACACACACACACACACACACACACACACACACACACACACACACACACACACACACACACACACACACACACACACACACACACGCTGCCAGTTTCCAGTACTCATGGAGGTGATGGAAAAAAGAGGAAGCTGTCAAAATAGTTTAAAAGCTCTCAAATGGTTGGATTCCCAACTATTTCTTCACATGGTAAAGGGCAGCTTAGTTTTAGCTTATGATACATGGGCCAACTTATAAACACAGGGAGTAAGTCTGGCTGGTAGGGCACAAGGGGATGGTAAGAAAAGGTTGCAGAAGAGAGGAAAAAGAACTGCGCGAATGAATGATTTGACCTTTTCACGGAAAGAACTCTGTGTATTGGAGGTTTTCCCCGAAACACATTCTTGCACCGTTGCTCCTTCAAAGATTTTAAACATGAATCTCAATTTTGATTTATTTATTTTGTCAGTTGTTGAAATCTGCTAAGAACTCTAAAATAAGTTGTTTATATTTTGTTTATAAATTGTCAGAAACTCTTATATTTGTTTTTACATTTGTTCAGCTACTCTGTGGATACATTCTCACTCAAAGTAAAACCTTTTTATTAAACAGACAGATTATACTGGTTTGTCAACAGGAAATTAAGAAGCCAGATCTTTTAAATAATGACCATTTTTAGTACAAATTAGGTCAATCATATATTAGAGCATATTAACGACATTCATATTGTTTCAGTTTTGCTCGATTTAAACCTCAGCAATAGAGTGTTGCAATTACTGCGCTTCAAACACTGTCCATAATTGCATTTATTTTACATTACTTTGTATGGAGCTGGTGAGGTCTGTCATCTGGTTCCCTTCAGAAGGGAAAACAGGACCATCTTAATGTATGGAGATGACTGTTAATATTAATAGGCTCGAGGACAATGAAACCAGCCACAGCCTGGTCATCGATACCTTTGTCAGGTGGTCTGATTTAACATCTGTAAAACCAAAGACATGATAAATGGTTTCAGAAGACCTGCCCACACATGAATACATACAGTATTTATTAATAGTTGGATTGTGGAATATTTCAAACATCTTTGGACGATTATTGTATCAAAACTGAAATTTGAAGCAAATTGTGAAGCTGTGTTCAAAAAGGGACACCAGTGTGTGTTTTGTGTCATTTGCTTTCTGTTAGTTATTAACAGGAGTGACAATGAAGTTTGCAAGGTTTATAACCGGCTAATACACAATTGCTAATAAATACAACCCTGTCTTGTAGAAATAACATATAAACAAAACCTACCTGCAAAAGCAAATATATTTTTGGAGAACACAAACACTGACAGAACAGTGAAAACTTTCCCCTGAGATTTTTAGAAAGTAACAAAAACAAAAGTAGACAAAGGAACTATAAAATGACATCAAGGAAGGATAAGTTGTATGGCAAGCTGAGTTCTGCTGCTGCTTTCTGCATGCACGGCTAGTTAAAGGTGAAACACTATTCAAATATGTTCAGATATGTGTGTCATCTCCTTCTTTTTGTCATGGGCTTGACATCATTTTATGGATGATAAGTGATTAAGAAAAGGGTTTTGGGAAAGAGACTTGTCTGGAAAGTGGCAGTGATTTGATGAAATGCAATGGAAAGCAAAAAAAGTTGAAACAAAGATGATGGATGTGAATACATTTGCCTGAAGAAAATATGACTTGAACTCCCAAGTCAAGCAAAGATGTATTCCGCTGTGCCAATATTAAGCTTTTAGGGAAATTTGTATTTATGTATCCCTACCCATAACTTATGATCCTGCATGCAACAAAGATGAGAGAGTAAAAACTTCAGTTACTGAGCCTATATCTAAATCTTCTAGTGGTCAAAACTCCACACATAAAGCACTGATTATGCCATTGTTAAATGAATTGATCATAGCGTTTATATTGTAGCTCACTGACAGCACAGGGAGGCGCTTAAGTAACCTCTATGCATCTGAGAGACTAAACTAAATTCAAATGTCTTCAGTCTGGTCTTTGGTTGCTCTCGGGTGGCTTATTGTATAATTATCAATTTAAGGACTCGGCAGGAAACCCAGTGTGTTATGGATCTTTAAGAATGATATACCTTTACCTAGCAAACTTTACCACACATTCCATAGTTCAACCCCTCTTTAAACAGAGCCATCTGAAAGCTATAAACTGTTATGCAATTACATAAATATATGACAAGTATACGCAGGCATAGTGGGAGTACAGAATGTACAGTCATGCAGTAAATGGGCTTATATTCACCTTTTCTATGTCTAAATGTCAGTTTGCAAGAACCAAACAATTGTAAGTAACGACAATCATATAATTAAACTTTCTAAACTAACATCATAGAAAATAGGACAGTTGTTTCACAAGGAATCTTTGCATATCTTGAAAACCGTTCATCAAATCTCCTTCTCACTTGATGATTGCTGGGTATCCAAGGGTGTGCATTGTCGAATTTGGACAAGCATCACGTTCAATATTTATAAACTTTGAACAAAGCAAACAGCGCTCTCTGCAGCAGCGGGGGCAGGGCTTCAGGGCTCTGCAGACTGAGTCGAGCATGTTGTTCACAGCGGGCTTGACTGCATTTCTGTTCTGCTGCTGGATACTGGATAAGCTAACGTCACAACCAAACTTTTCTTTACTTTCCTGGAGTCAATGAGTGTTGATCTGAATTTGGTTAACTACTGGTTTACTTGAAAATACTCCTTTTTTAACACCTTGTCCCTCCTACAGAAAATACCTGCTTTCATTCACTATCACAAATAAAGAAGAGGTTAAAAAAAGAGGGTGGGGGGGGGGGGGGGGGGGGGGGGG